TAACAAAAAATGATTTAAAAATAGGACAGATGGTACTTGTAAAAGAAGATTTCTTGCCTTTAAATACCTGGATTTTAGGCCGAATAATTTATGTTTATCATGGTTCGGATAATAAAGTGCGTGTTGTAAAAATTCGCACAAAATCTGAGGTATTTAAAAGAGCTGTATCTAAAATAGCTGTCTTGCCTATCCATACATAAAAAAAATAAAAAAAAATACTGTATTTTTCATAATGTTATATATTCTGTTTTACATTTTATAATGTTTATGTTTTATATTGTCAAGCTATGTAATATTTGTGTTTATTTTTTAAATTTCATATGTTAAGTTCTTGCATGAACATTGCAGGGCCGGGCGGGATGTTGGCGCGCATGCGCGTCAGCGCCCCAACCGGCAGAAGATTTTGTTACTTCCACAATGACAGACGGCTCTCATGTAGCTCCGTCTAATTAAAAATAAAACTACTGAAATCGCATTTAGCGATAATTAAAATAAATAAAATAAAATCATCTCTTTTTAAGAAGGAGTGGTCCGTCTTATAAATTTTTCTCTTCACGGGGTAAAAACTTCTTTTGGGGGCCCCCCTCTGCTTCACTACTTCAGTAATGAAGAACCGAACTTTATGGAGGTATTTAAAATTTATCACCTCATTATAGATAACATAACAAGAAAATTGATTTTATTGAATACCTAAAATATCTATAAAGTTCCAATCGTCAGACGAAACTGTCCATTTTATTCATGTCCATCATGCGAAGGCAGTTTCTGAAATGCAGTTTTCTGATTGTTAACTTCATATCCTTGCTGACATAAGGGCGGAATTCAGCTATATTTTCGCAATTACGATAATTCAATTAAGTCAATCAAAAGCCCGTATTTTTCCCATGAGCTGAATATCACCCTAGGAAACCGTGGATTTACGAAATAAAGATTTTTTGTGTTCATACGATAGATTAATGAAGAAGTTAACATAAAACTTACGAATTTTACATTGTACTGGTATTTTGTTTTAAAAAAGTTCAATAAAGAATTAAACGTAAAATAAGCTTTCGATTCGATTTGGTGGCCCCTCTGATGTGGGGGTCAAGGACAACTGCCCCTGCCTTAGTCAGGATTTGACTGTTGTTTCCAATTTGTATATTTTTGAAGCGAATGAGTTTTTAATCAAATACTATCTTACCGCTTCCGTTTCTCGGGAATAGTTATTTAATGCAACTGTTAGTTTTTGAACTAATCTGAATCACCAAAATTATTAACATGACCTGGTAGTCGAAAGATCGTATTTCATCTGATAGTTGATCAAAAAATCTTTATTATCCAATTTTTTTTTAAATGTACCCTATGTCAAAGTCAGACGAATTATTCTCAAAGAGGGAAGAAGAGCATTTAAAGCTCTCATTTTGAATTGCAAAAAATAATGATAATAATAATAAAGGGAAGAAAAATAGATCAAGTTTGTATTTACTTCTAGTGGGTAATTTTTTGTTTTAGCTACAACTTTAATTTTATAAAGTTTTATGAAATCTGAGTAATATATCTAGTCATATAAATCTGAGTATAACCTTTTAATATTTTGCGCCTATCTTCCGCCATAAACAAATTATAACGAAATAACATTTCCATCGTTTATGATACATTAAAAATGGCTTATAATTAAGCCTTCTCACAATTGTTTCGATTTTTAATATCGTCGGTGAGTGACAGCTGATTTTCTAAAAGAATATCTCAGTTTAATCTCACTTCCCTAGTCTTGATTTTGAAATCTAACTCAGAAGACAAAGAAAGCAAGCCTACGCATCTAATGTTTTTATAATAAACTCCATGGGCAATCGGTAAAATGTGTTAGCATTTGTAAAATATCAAACTAAAATTATGCGATGTTATTGAAATGACATTTCTAATAAAAGATTTGTCGAACTATGTTGCTGATTGTTATTAAGATTATTTAACAAAACAAAACGCTGTGTGTTCACTTAATTGGCAGACAAATTAAGAGCTGTGATAAAAAAAAACTTAACGGGATAAAAAAAATTACCATTATATAATCAAGGAAAAAAGCGAAATAATAAAGAAAAGAAAGAAAAATGGGTTACCCTTATAACTTTTGAACGGCTGGTCCGATTTTCATTCAGTGAATTTCTAAGGAAACATATCTTTTTTTTTTTAATCCCCCAAATTGGGATCTATCATGTCGAAAATAGGAGGGCAGAGAAAGTTTTTAAAAACTGGCTTTTACAGTTTAACCGCAATAGCGATTTGAGATTTTGTTACTCTAAAAATTATTTTAATGCGTCACACTCCTTTTTTTTTTTTTTTTTTTTTTTTTTTTTTTTTTTTTTTTTTTTTTTTTTTTTNTTGTCTTTCGAATGATTCGTTAAATTATAAAAACTCTTTCGTAAGAAGTTATAAGCTCTCGGCCCAAACGGATGAAAATTAAAAAATGTAACATAATGAGGAATTTAGGTAAAATAAATGATTTTTATTATTTTGTTAATGATGAATCAATTTGATCTCTTACTTTAAAAATGAAAACTTGTAGATCATTTTTGTTTTATTTTACTTTTCCTTCAATCTAACCCGATTTATCCCATTTTCCCCAACTTTATATTCAAGTATCAAATACAAATATAGCATTGATACCAAAAGTGGCTGCATGGAGAAATTGGTATAGTATATTATGTAAATTAATTGGCTATATCTTTTGCTGTTGGCACCAATTCATTCAAAAAGTCATTACTAGTTTAAAAAATCCTTGCTCTTTACAATTCTCGATCAAACCACAGATAAAGAAACCATTTATAAATTATGATGGGTGTGAGAATCTTTTAGTTCAATCAGACAAACAAATGATAATACTGATAAAAAAATGTTCTACAACAATGAATGTTTTTGAAAACGAGAATGTTTTGATGACGCTGGGCGTTAACATATAGTTTGTCTACTGTAAGAACTACTAGGTCTGGGGCCGTCTGTTGCTATGGAAATAAGAATAGCTCATTTCAGGGAGGGTAGATTCTTTTCACTCTAAGGCTAACGTTATAGTCCGAAGGATCTCGCCGACTCGAGCCAAACCCTGCCCTCAACAATGACGTCACACCCCTACTTGAAATAATTATATCTCGTTCGTTACCATAGTCACCGCCACGGATCCAGAAGAATGGCTTGAGGAATTCTTACTTTAGACAAACCATATTAAATATATGTTTTAGGTATAAAATATACCTTCAGCTGACTTCATTACCAAGCTAGTAACAGATTCATTAAAAAGTTTTTTCCCAGAATAGTGCAACTGCTTTTACATTTCTGAGGATTACATTTTTCAAACCTAGATTAGGTAAAATAGTTGCAGTGTGGAGCAATTGAAATTTTTAGTATAAAATTCTAGCTAATTCGCTTCCGTTTGAATTAATTCCTATAACATACTGAAGAAAGCTGTGCATAAATTGTTAATGTTAACGCAGAAAAGTTCCGAATATCATATATATATATATATATATATATGATATTCGGATCTTTTCTGCGTTAACATTAACAATTTATGCACAGCTTTCTTCAGTATGTTATAGGAATTAATTCAAACGGAAGCGAATTAGCTAGAATTTTATACTAAAAATTTCAATTGCTCCACCCTGTAATTATTTTACCTAATCTAGGTTTGAAAAATGTAATCCTTAGAAATGTTAAGCAGTTGCACTATTCTGGGGAAAAACTTTTTAATGAATCTGTTACTAGCTTGGTAATGAAGTCGGTTGAAGGTATATTTTATACCTAAAACNTATATAATATTGTATCCGTAACCTTGCAATTTTGAACCAATCCAGAGGACAAGGAAACTCTTGGATCAGTACCCCCAGAAGTATGATTTGATATGTGAACATGGAGGACTTTGTGACACGACAGATTTAACGTGCATCAGTCACCATTAACTACTCGGGGAGTCTTCGTCTGGCGGGGATCGAACCCACGACCTCTTGCGCATGGGCCCGATGCCCTACCAGACAGGCTATCCAGGCCCCTATGAATGTTATGTAAAAAAAATTAAATTTTAGGATAAATAATTTAATAAAACATATAAATAATCAGATTATTACGTTTTTATGTTTATAAATGATGGCAAAAATAAATCAATTTTTACCGGAATTTAGTTATGCAACAACTGTAGATGATATTTTCCGTGAGAAAGCAAAAATTGGCAACTACCTGCTTCGTTTTTTTTTGGGGGGTATTATAAAAGGCTATTGTAGTATAGGAAATGATTAATTGCTTTTGTGAACGTGTTTAATAGTTTCAAGAGTAAATAAAAGGCTACTATTGCTTCAAGAAATCAATGAAATGCGTATTTATGATACTCATGTGATAATTTTATACGGGCGTTAATTTAATCTTTAGGATGTTTAAACTTGCGTTGATGGAAATTTATAATAATAATTTCAAAATAAATGAAATGAAGATAAATACAGGAAAAGCACCCATAAAAACTAAACGCACATTAATAAATTGAGGAAAATCTTTCGTGAAAAGCGAGAGAAGTTAGCATTTACAATATTTTTATTCACATTATGCAACTTTAAATAATAATAAAATAATGTATGATGGTATTTTGCAAATAAGCTCACGAATTTCAATGAAATCACGTGAACAATGCTTCCATTAAAAAAGTGGTTATATGTTTATTTAAGTGTATTTAAACAAAGTAAACCATAATTATCTGGGAAATAGAATATTATGGTAAGGCAAAACCGATACTCCCATTTGAACTTAACAGACGCACCTCTGATCAACGTAGAGGAAGAACGAAAACATGATTGGTGAAATATGTATCCCCAATAAATACTCACGAATCGGTTTCTCTCCTTCTCTGGAATGTTTGTGAATTACATGCAGTGAGAACGCTTCCTGTGAGATTTAACGTTTTCCCGACTACTCATAGCAGAAAAGATGTTACAGCAAGAATGTATCTTTTTTTTAAAAATTATTCTTGTAGGTGGGATAAAACGTACTTGATTCAAGAAAAACTTAAATAGATTCTTAGAAGCATTTCCATTTATTATAAGATAGATGGCAACTGTCAATGAATTGTTGATGTTTTTGTGAATTGTTTCGGGATCGGGTCATGGACATTTATGAATAATATACCAGTTATTATTTATATTTCAAGTTTAAATTTTTAACTGAAGTATTACTTAAATATTTCTATATATTTTCAATTGTACATTTTATTAATTTGTAATTGTTATTACCTATTAATTGATCGTCATTGTCATTCCAAATTTAGTATCGTCTGCTGAAAACCAAGGAAGACATTAATTTCATGCAGATGCGCATGTTTGGTGAATTTAATGTTTATATAACCCAATAGTAAGTATTCACTTAAGCATTTTACTGTTATACTTGAGTTTCTTTTTGTTTAATGTCCTTGAATTTAACTCAAATAAACATAAGATGGAATATGAAATTAAGACCGGTTGTGTTTGCTTGTTCTAAAATCCCCTCATTTTTGTCTTAATCACTCTTCTACAATTTTATAATAAATAAATTCAATAATTATTTTTATAACTATGAGAATTTTTCTTCTAAGCTTTTCTTTTCGTAATAATTTTTTTAATCAATATTGACATTGGTATCCATATCGTACTTTTTAAAAATCTCCATAACTCTTAAAGCATATAATAAAAATAAACTGGGCTTAAGAAATTAAATTTTTAATGAAATTTCTGATATTTCATGGTTTTAAATCTGTTTAGGTGGGTGATTCTCATGAACTTAACATTTCCAAATCAAATACTAATAGTGTTCTAAAAATGTGTAATTCTTAAAAGTGTTTAACAAAATCCGAAAATATTTACAATTACTATTTAAAAGGTTTTTAACAATAAAAAAAATTATGGAATCTCTCTTGTATCACTAAATAATGATGTTGGCTATTAAATCCATTTTCTGGCTCAGAAAATGGGAAGTGAGATTAAGGGAATTTTAAATTTTTTTTTTTTTGGGAAATTGAAAATAAATAATCTTTTTTTATATGCATGGAAAAATTATGTCTCATAAGTGTAAAAAATAACTTTATATTTCAAACCAATTTTGTGATATTTTGTTTGGATTTGTTATTGTTTTGTTTCTGTTCAATCATCCAGGTACCCATTTCTTACATATTCATAATACTATGTTTATTATTTAAGATAATGTTGATATTGATATTTATTAAATTATCAGCACCTGATATCTAAATTAAAAATTATTTATCATGCTTAGATTTAAATTAATAATTATATATTTTGCATTCCTTTTGCTTCGGAAAAACAAATTAGCAAAACTTGTTTCTGTTAAGTTGTAACATAGATTGAAAAGTTAAAGAATAATACTCAAAATAAATAAAAGTATTATTCTATAAAAGTTATAGAATAATACTCAGTTTTGAAGGGCACTAATCGAGATAACTCTATCAATTCTCTTTTTGGCTAGATTAGTGCCTTTCAAAATTGAATTAAAAATACTAAAATAAATGCCAGAAATTATATTTTATATTAACTTAACCTAAAAATAATTTGTCATGCTTATCTGTAGTTCATGGTTTTGCTACTGCCATCTCTTTTCTTAAAAAAAGGGGCATTTTTTCTGAATAAAAGGGGACATTTTTTAAAAAAAAGGCGAGAAAGGTGCATTTACCTTTGTGAAAGGGCAAGCAGGGTAGGCCACCCTTCAAACACTCAATGAAAACACAAGCATAGGATGTATACTTGGGTTTTCACTGAGTACCTATCTGAAAATTGAATTTTTTGTGTTAATTTCTCCCAATTTTTGATCTTTCCCGACCCAAAATTAAGAGTAATGCTTAATAGCATATTTTCACCGTGATTGAAGTCTTAAATTGGATGATTAAGTTGTTAGTAATGCTTAATAAGATTTTTATCAAGTTTCGTTCATGCGTTCTTTATCAGATAAAGAGTTAAACTAAAAGAGTTACATTTTGATGTTTGTAATTATCCGGGTAATTAACTGAAATTGACAGCAATGCTAAATAACACCTTTTTAATAAGATAGAAGTTCTAGATTTAATCTGTGTTTTTTGAGACAAATTGAAACTAAATAATCTTTATTTTGGTACTTTGTAACAATCGGAGTAATTAGTGTAATTGACAAGTATGCTGAATTACATATTCACGCGAATTGTCACCATGTATTTGGTAAAACATACCAGATTCAGCCCTTTCGTGCCATTAAATGTAAAAAGTTGAATTTGTGCGGGTGGATGACGCTATGTGGAACAGCTCAACGATGAGTTTGTTTGGAGGGACCAAATAGTAGATTTGTGAAAGATTTTAATCCTCCTATTAGCGCTCAAAATTTACTAGTGCTGAGAATTTTGAGCTAGGCTGTCAAAGTCAGCAGGAACAATCATAGAGGCGTAGAGTGGTTGTTTCGAGCAGGTGAAGGACTATGTTATATCATGAAGCGGTGAATTCTTGTAAGATCGACCAGCATATATTTATTTACATATACCTTATATCTCAATGAGATAAATATATGAATAACTCTGTATTAATTTACCCCTTTAAAATACTATTTTTAATATGTTTTTTATAATTAACTTCGTTTTTTCTTTCATCATATTTTCTTTACATTTAAATGTTTTTTTTTTCTTTTATAGAAACAAGACTTTAAATTAAGTTCAGAAAAAAAATTAAGAATAAAAGATCATTTATTCAAGAGTATAGCAAAAAGCACAATGAAAATTTTACTCAATGGAAACTTTTAAAATGTATCATAAAGCTATGAATTTAAAATGAGTCCCACAAAAAATTGTCTTCACCCCATCCAAAGAATTCGAAACTCCACTCTTTTTAAAAGATTTTTTGCAAGAACATTATTTGAATGCAAATGTGTCATATTTAAAGAGAATAAGGTGAAATATTTTTAACCTGAGAAAAGTTTCTAGACTTAATAATTTTTAAATTCTTTAATGTTGAAAATTTTCTTGGTTTGATTTTTCAGCAATTGACTCATACACCAATATTCAGCAATTGACTTATACACAACTTATATTAGCATAAAAAGCATTTTTTTTAAAGAAGAAAAAAAAATTTTTTTTTCAATGTTTAGCTATTTTCTTATGTATTTAAACTACCTGTTTAATTTTTTTTAAAAGATAATAAAAGTATTATAATGTAAAAAAAAAAATTTACAAAAAATTTCTCTTTTTAAAGTACTGAAGTGTAGACCCATTAATAACAAGAATGAAGAATCGAAAAACTTTTCATGTGAAATCAGAATGCAGTTTAAACTCAAATTGGCCATAATTATGTACAAAAATGAGACAGGCAATGCATTTTCATGAACTCTTATTAATTGTAAGAAAGTTGATTCCCTGTCTTTGGATGCTGAATTCATTGTTTTAATTGTTTCTTGGTCATGAACATGAATGCAAACATAGGAGCAGTAAGTATAAGTATCTTTTTAATTTGCATTGCAATATAATCTTTTAGTTATGGTCATTATGTAATCTACATTCAGTTTTTAACTTTTTTGAACTAATGGGGTGTTTTGAAATCCTTTCGAGAGAATTGAAATTTTCCCGAACTGTAAAATTCTTTTTTTGCGCTAGATTAAATGAAATAATTTTTTTTTTTTAAAATTAGTGAAATTTACTTTTTAAATCTGAGTTATACTCGCAATTACAAGTAATTTATTCAACGTAATTTACTTTAAGATTATTTTACAAAAAATCTATCCTTTATTTTATTATAAAATAGTAGAGATGATTATTTTAACTATTAGAATTTTTTTTTGCAGGGGGGGGGGGTTGACTGCTGGCAACTGACTCTGTACATAGTATAATTTGTTAGTAGGACTTATATAGGTTTCATTTTTATTTCCGTTATCTTAAAATTGTGTTTTTCATGTTTATAGTGTCTCTTAACAATATATTATGCAATATACTTAGATTACATGTCAATAATTATGATGTTGAAAACTGCAATTATTAGGAGCAACAAATTAAAAAATGAATGTTAAAAGCAAAATAAATTTTTATCTTCTTGTTTCTTTTTCCTACTATCCTAAAGTCTATGGAAATATTTTTATGATTGTTAATTTTTTCCTCATGTTTTTCAGAATATTCATCTAGTGATTCTTCTTTTATTGAGTCTTAATTTTTCTAACTATTCTTATTTTCTAAAGATTTGTTGTAAAAACAACATTATAATAAGGAGGAAATTGTATTTGTTAAAAGCAAAATGAATTTTTTTCTTCCTTTTTCCTGTAATTGTAGAGTTCATGGAATTTTTGTTGTGAATGTCAGTTAGTTTCAACAGAATATTGTCAGCATTTATTTAGTCTTTAATGTTCTTACTACTCTTACTTTCTAAAGATTTGTTGTAAAAACAACATGTGTAGTAAGGTACACAAGGATGGAACACCAGAAAATTAAGAATATTCTTCAAATGGTTCTACTAATATTAATTAATTAATGTTGTAACCACTCTTAATTTGTTTAAAAGACAAAGTAATAAGAAGGAATACGAGAAAAGTTTTTATACATTTCAAACGTAACTATCTGTTTTATTTCTTTTAAGTAACTCAAATAAAGAAAATTATTAAAAAAAGGACTCACTAACGCAAGATTTTTTGTTTTTATTTAAGCTTTATTTACCTTTGTTTATAACACCGGGATAAGTAAAATTGTTGACATTCCAGATGAATCATCAGCATAACGGTCATGGTTTGGTGCTCGTAGAGATGAATCTTTATTTGATAGCAAATTAGTTTTATTTATTGTTGTGTATTTGTAAATCTTGTTTTGTTATTGTAGGTTGAACAACGGCCAAAAAGTTTTGAGTGTTTGATAAATGTTTTTAATACCTCAATTTTTAAATTTAATTTACTTTTCTGAAGATATGTAACAGGCTCCATGAACTTATTAAATTTTTAAAAAGAAGCAATTAAATAAAACTATTTATGAAAAATTAAAAATAAGTGCTACAAGACTTTCAGATAAACTTTATTGGGGGCTAAATTTCTTTGGTCTTTCTCATTTCAAATATAGTCTTATTTTTTAAAGAGTCATTTTTTTCAGGAAGTAGAATATTTTCGAGAATCTTTCAGAATAGCGTTCATTCACTTTTACGGCGTCTTTGTTTTGACGGTGAAATCTTATCTGCTCGTTTATCGTTTCTTTGTTTCATGTTTACAACGTATTACGAATTGACTGATATTTTCTCACTGTTTTGTCTTTTTATGTTCTTTATATTTTTTTAATTACTCCTGACATTTTGCTTTTTTACGTTTATTGCGGAGATATGATTGAAGTGAAAAGCTGCGTGTTAAGATAGGTGATTAACAACGACGTCATTAAATGTCTA